CATAAATTTTACAAATTCAAATTCAATCCATACTTGAAATCAATAAAAGATTTAAATCGACGAATAACTCATTAAATTTTTAATTTTTATACTTTTATGTAATTTTTAAATAAAAAAATTAATAACCATACCTCCAATAATCAAATATGTGTTTAATAAAGATTTATTTATATATCTTCAGCCTTTTACCTATAATCATTCATTGAAAAAAAATGACAATATATTCTACCCACATCATGAATGTAAATCATAAACCATGCTGAACAAATACATGTAAAACCCATTTCTAATGAAGTTTGAATACTACATATTGACATGAATGTAAATCCCAGAAAAATGTGAATCAAATCCAGAATCAAGAGTTATTTACATAGTTTCAAAGCTGAAACAAAACCCTCCTATAAGGCTATAACCCTTCAAAGAATGAAGGTCAGAAAGAATCCAGGACCCTTCAGTGAGGATTGAAGGCAAATTGTATCCTTGTTCCTATGGTCATCAAGTCATTCAACAATGTGTCAAAATCTAAAAGAAAAAAAAATGGTGATAGAAAGTATCTATTCATGTATGCAAACGTATCATCAGAGCATGATCAAGCCAGCTTCCACTGGGTAATGGTGTTCCAGCCTCGAAATCATCGCATGGACATCAAGGTTCGAACTTTGTGTTGTCTTTCTGCTTTTTTCGCGCTCGGAGTCCTTTTCATTCTCTGAAACTCCTCCATCACGGCTTTCTCCACTGTGTCGATGGAGTTCAAGAGCTTCTTTTGGGGGGAGTAAGAAACTCCTCCGCAGATCCCTCAGCCTTTTTATTGGTGACATTAAGCAGAATCTTCGACACATTCTTGATCATCGGAGGGCGAGGCTTCGATCCAGAAGTTGAAGCTGGTGTTGAGAAATTGTGCTCGAGCCGAGCAACTGATGATATTTTTGAACCGAGAATAGTCTCGTTACGGGGTGTGCGGGGGTCTCTGGTAATAGGCCTTCACCATCTCCTGACCGTGCTCTCCTCCTTTCGATGGCCTGTTTATCCTCATCAAATTCAGTAAAAAGATATATTTTGTGCTTGAGTTAAGCACCGGAAAATAATTATTGAAGTTCAGTGTGAAAAGCCATAGGTGCTCTTTCTGGGAAAGCTTACCCAACCTGGTAATAAAGGGGATGCACTATGCAAAAGATTATGTTTGGTGCTCCAGTAAGCACCCAAACGGCCAAATGTGGCTATTTCATATGATGCTAGCAGTATAATGGATAACGCAGTGGATTAAAATCATAGCAAACTTTAGAGCAAATTGAGAAAAGAAATTAAAACTAAAAATATATCAGACTAAAATTCAGATAGCAAATGACCAACTAAAAAAGTTGAATAAACTTGAATCTGAACTTGAAAACTAGTTTATAAGCTGAAAAGTCAAATAGGGCATATCAAACACACTGGAATATAAGAGATAAGTAACGTTCAACTTTCAACAGACCACACTGTATGAAACGATAAATCACTGACAGATGGACTAGGGATGAATAAGACGCCTAATAAGTTAGACAGATCGTATGAATCCATGAATCTCATAAGAAATGAAGGCAATAAGATGTACATCAAGCAAATAGACTACGGATGAATCCATGAATGACAGGCAAATGGATTATGGATGAACAAGACACCTGATAAGAAATGAAGGCAATAAGATGAACATCAAGCAAATGGACATGGATGAATCCATGAATCACAGGCAAATGGACATGGATGAACCCATGAATCACAGACAAATGGACTATGAATGAACAAGACACCTGATAAGAAATGAAGGCATAAGATAAGCATCAAGCAAAAGGGCTATGGACGAATCCATGAATAACAGGCAAATGGACTATGAATGAACAAGACATCTGATAAGAGATGAAGGCAATAACATGAACATCAAGCAAATGAAATATGGATGAATCCATGAATAACAGGCAAATGGACTATGGATGAACAAGACACCTGATAAGAAATGAAGACAATAACATGAACATCAGACCAGGTTCAATAAACTCAAGACGAGCATCAAATATTAATAGCTTATAAAATGGGTGCTCAGAGATAAATAGTACATGTTAGAAGTAAAGACAATCAGATGAACTTCAACCTTTTAAGACCCAATGTAAATGAATGAATCAAAACCCAGAATGATACATAAAAATCAAGCTCATTGAAGCCAGAGTGAACAATAAATACCAAGAAACAATCATATAGGCAATTCCACTATCAGGGATCTCTCACTAGCTGAACCAAACAGAGCCGCAAACAAGGTAAATGAATAAACAATGGTAAAGAAACAGACTAAAAGTCACTAATAAGATAAATTAAAAATAAATAAATAAAAGATGAAAAACAGGGCATTATTACCCTTGCTACAGCTGTAATATCCTGGAGAGGTGTTCTCGGGTACCAAGAAGGTAACATAGTACCCGTAACTCCACCCCTTCCACGGCCCAAGGGACTTGGCGTCGCCGGAGCATTTTCTCTTCCGTTCCGGCCACGTCTAGCGCTGAATCTTGGAGTCCTAAAACTGTTGCCCCGACGGAACCCTCCACCACGCGCCGTCAAAACAGTAGCACCGGCAACACCCGTTGGCCTACGAGTAGCAGGAGAGCCTAAAAGCTCCACCGCTTCATCTGATAAAATTCCTAAAGGCCCAACACGTCTTCGATCAAAGACTTCCGCTAAATCGACTGTCCTTACGAGTCTATCTCTTGACTCCGCCATTGCTTATAGAGTTCAACCCACAAAAAATAAGCAAAAACAGAGATAAAACAAGCAAATGGGTATCAAAAACTTCGAATAAAATGGAGAGAAGAAGCAAAAATAAACGGAAAAGTAAAAAGGGTATCGTAATTTTCCCAAGAAAATGTGGAAAAACAAGAAAGAAGAAGAAAAAGATTGAGAAGATGGATTCTGTCAGTTCTAAACTACAAAAAAGGGACTAACCTTAGGGGGGAATGGGTGATTGCTTGAAGGGTTTAACGGAGACGGAGGTGACTACCGGAGGCAGCGAACGGTGACTGGAGAGGCGAATTTGGCAAATTTTTCAAAGTGAAAATAATGGCGCTCTTATAGGGGCTGGTTTCATTTCTTCTAAACTTTTGACACGTGTAACTCGTGTGATCAATGCCTGTTTGAATTTTTACTTTTAGGCGCTCAATTAAAATCGGGGAAAAGCATACAAATGGTCCCCAACTATAAGGTAATTTTTATTAAGTCTCTCAACTATTAAAATATTCAAAATAATCCTATGACTATAGAGTGTTGCTATGTTGAGACCCTTGACTATTAAAAGTTCCAAAAAGGTCACACAACTACTCGTTATGTTCAAAACTCATCTTTCGTCGTTAAAAACTTGACAGTTGTTTGAGTTGGACATTAACACTGAAATATGATAGTTAATTGATATTTTACGATCATAATTTATCATATCACAATCAGTATGTTAACATTAAACTTAGAATGTCATCAATTCTTTTAATGAAAAAGGACGAGTTTGAAATATAATGAATAGTTGGGTGATCATTTTAGAACTTTTAATAGTTGAGGGACTCAACAAAGCAACACTCTATAGTGAAGGACTATTTTGGAAATTTTAATAGTCGATAGACTTAATAAAGAAATAACTTATAATTGGGGACTATTTATATACTCTACCTTTAAAATCGTGTATATTTCCATATGCTCCTTTCTTAGGTGAAATTGTAGTCTTAGTCCTTCTACTATGTTAAAATTGGGGATATCTTTTTTTTATTTTTTAATAGAATCATCGATATTCGATCTATTGATTGATTAATAATATTGCAAAGGCTCTTCAGGAGAGTGATTCTTTCAACTTGAGTTTCTTATTTACAGAATCATAATTTAACTTGAACGTTACTTAAAAGATTTAATATCTCAACTCATTATAGCTTCATTTTTTTTATTTTAGTTTTAAGTAATTTAAATATTAATTTTTATAATATTATTAATAACTAAATTGGGATAATATTGTTCATTGTATATGTATAAGTGTTAACAACATTATCTATAAATTATTACATTTGTTAATTTATAAATTAGGATAAATTACGGTTTAGGTACATTTGTTAATTTATATATCATATTAAACATTTCAATAAAGTATATATATTACATTAGATATTTTATACTTGTATCATATTAAATTATTAATAAATAGATATCACATTAAATATTTTAAAGATATAAATACCACACTAAATATTTTAATAAATGCAAATATGAAATATGATATTATTCCTTATTTTAATGGTAGTATTTAAATGATGAATTTTTTTTATGGATAATAGTATAATTGTCCTTTATAAAATATGATATATTTGTATCGGATTGGGAGTTAGTTTTTACTCTAAACTTCGAGTCAGGTAGAACCTTTTTAAACTTGGATTAGGTGTCAGATGAGGGTGTTATACTCGGGTTAGGTTCAGATCATCCAAAATCCTGACCTGACCTATGACCATCCTTAATCTTGTAATTCAATTGGACTAACTTTTAAATATTTGTAAAATCGACTACCAAATTTAAACAAATTAAAATAGAGGAACAAAATGGATTTCAATTGATTACAAATAAAGATCAATACAAATACAAATGCAAATCATATAATATAAGTTTAAGCAGTCCATTTAATAGATCAAACACATTGAATTAACCACAAAGAAGATAAAGAGAGAGATACATTGCCAGAGAAATAAAAGACTGTTAATCTACCTATAAGTGATTGATCATTGCAAAGGCAACGGAATTAATGATCAAAGACAGCAATCCAGGTATCTTATATAATACCAAATGAAACCTCCATTTCTGGTGCGGACGGTTTCGAGTTAGTACGCGAGTCTCATCGGAAGTGCGTAAATTAGTAGTGAGCCTGGGAATCAAAGAGCATGAGCTATGAACATGGATATGCAAGGGGAGAAAAACAATGGGGCAAATCTCAAGACATAAATGGCGAGTCAAACCTGCTTCCGGGTGAAATTGAACCCCGTCACAAGGTTTTCGGAATTGGTCATCAGTTGCTCTTCGAATGCATTATGCACTCTCGTTCTCTTCCTTCGGTGGTTCTGACTCTTCCTTTGGTGGTTCTGACTCTTCCTCATTGGTTTTAGCAACCTTTTGAGAATCCTCTGCTTCAAAAGGGTCCGCTTCACTCTTTAAGTCGGCTAACTCGGCTGTATGATTTCAATGCATTGGACATAGTTTCAGAATTAGCAACTTGTGGATCAATGGAATTCAATGGTTATCTTATTCAAGAAAAAGGAAAATTGTTGACAGATACAAGTGTTCTTACAAGGTGGGGTGGCTGGTGTGGAACTGCTCCTGGAGAGTTTCTTGGGCGATACGTCAGGCGATTGTCTCGCACATTGAGAAGTGAAAATAGAGGAAAGAGCAGCTGTTGAGGAACTGCTCCTGGAGATTCTCTTAGGAGGTGATACGTCAGGAGATTTTTTCTTATTTTCAGCAGTGAGAACAGATGAAAGAGCAGCTATTGCAGCCGCTCTTTGCGATGCCTGGCGAAAAGTGATAGGCTTCGGAGCCGAAGTTTTGGGTTCTGATGACGGATTTAACGCAGATGATAAAGCCGCTAAGGCCGAAGCTCTTTGCGATCCCTCACTGGAACTGAGACGCCTTGGAGGTGGGGCTTTGGTTTCTGCTGACTGATTAAATGCAGATGATAAAGCTGCTAAAGCTGCAGCTCTTTGTGTAGTTCCACTCTTATTTTCACGGGAGGGATCCGAGGCCTAAAGTAACGGCGCATACCCAACAAGTTAACTCATAAGCAATGTAATGAATGGTTTGAATTCTCAAGAACACTTGCACAAAGAACTTCGGTCATAATCATTATGTAAGAAAACAATATTAGATTTTGCATGTTCAGAAGCCAAAGGAAACAATAATAAGCCGCATCTATCGAACTTATCGGGAATTTCATTACGTGGTTTTCGTTTATTACCGGTGTTAGCTCCTCCTATGTCAAACCACCAATGCATATAACTAAATATAAGAATGGAACTGCCAACAATTCAAATCTTGAATGAAAGGCTAAGCAGATTTCCTTTTTCCAGACTGATGCAGCTCATAGTCTTACTGTTCTCCAGCTAATTTGGCTAGATGTACTGGTTCTTTTCATTTTTTTAGTTTACACCCAAAATTGGATACAACTAAAACATACATACATATGCATGCATGCATACTGAAAAGAGTTCGAAAAAGAGTTTAGTGGCATAAGCAGTTTATTACCGAAGGGGTTGATTTGGCAGAAGATGAATTGAATGCAGAAGTTAAGGCAGCTAAAGCTGCAGCCCTTTGAGTGGCACCCCCTAGGTTCTGACTGGGCTTGTCCTGTCTCAGCAGCATAGAATCCATCATTCAGGGAACCGGATCAGTAAACGGTTATGATCGTTTTAAGAGAAACAGAGAGAGGCATTATCTTCTTTAGATAAGATATTGTATCACTGTCCTTAATTTAGCCACAAAGAATAAGGATCAAAGGCTCCTCAGGGACAATCACTGCTAAAATTCAGTGTCATCTGTAACAGATATATGCCAAAAATTCATCTCAAAGTTCTAGGTTTACGTGTCACTCGGATTTTCTCCTTGCAAGTTAAGTTAGAAACAAAATGGTAAAAATGGTTCATAATGTCCACAATAGATACAAGTTATAACAGGAAAACAAAAAGGAAGCACTATTGAAAACAACCAAAAGATGTAACGTTCTATTACACAAGCTTATTGATGTTTTCAGTCCATCAAAACAAAATGTGCTTTAAAAAGTTATGTTCCTTACAATTGCAAATTAATCGCATTTAATTTTTAGGACAAACTACATGTTTAATACCCCAACTATCACTTTTTTTCCATTTTGGTCACCAAACTATTTTTTTCTTCAAAATCATACCTAACATTTAGTTTTGGTTTTAATTTGGTCACTTGTTCTTAAAAAATTAACGGTGATGCTAACGTGTCAACATAAGATAATGCCAATTCAATAGTTCTGTTAATTTTTTAATGGTGGGTGACCAAAATGAAACCAAAACGTAACATTACGTATGATTTTGAAAAGAATTAGTTGGGTGATCATAACGGAACAAAAGTGATAGTTGGGTACTAAATGTGTTATTTACCCTAATTTTCATGAACCAAATTTCATTTAAGACTGGAGAAACTTCATATAGTGAATTTCAACTTCGTGTGAAATAAAGAAAGAATTTACCTCTACATCGTTGCTAGCTCCAAAGAGCAATGTCCTCTTCCTCTGGTACGAGTTTCCATTCACCTGCGTTCCAGAGAAAAAAACCTAAGTATAAATATGAAACAGCGGAAGCCGAAGGCAACGTACGTGAAAGGAACAACTAAATATGTTAGTTGAAGACCGATAAAGATGGAAGTTTAATCTAACATTAATTGAAGTGACAGTAACTCAAGGATAAAGTACAAAAGTTCAGTCAAGGACACATACAATAGCTCGGTTGGGATCCCATGAAAAGAATGTTGTGAAGAAGCAGGGTTCATTTCCTTCAGTAACTTTGTAAAGTGGAACAATCGGAGACAAACCATCCAGACCAGCGGCCCTGTCTATATATTTCTGCAAAGAACTTCTAAAATGAATAAAGAGCATATTGGCACAATAACAAGACAAAGGAATCGATTTTAGTTCATCACCTGACCAATTTCGAAAACACTTCGCTTTTCTAGGGAATCAACGCACTGACCAACCCAAACAAACACTTCTGCATGTGTGTCAAGTATTAAGATATCTTCTGTCAAGAGATCATCCTGTGAGAAATTATAGACTTCCTCTGCCTGCAAAAGAAGAATGTAAACTTACACATTGAAGACACTGGGAACCTGTATGAACGAGTTTCATTTACATAATCTCACCTCAAACTTTCCCGAGACATCTACATTGAAACGGACAAACACAGAAAGAACAGTTAGAATGATAAAAAGCTTCATCAATAACTAAAGGAATCAGTAAAAAGTCTTAGGGACCAAATTGGAAACTAAAGCAAATTGCGTTTATGAATAAGAAACAGACCTTTGTTTAGAGTGACACAGAACAAGTGGGGTTCCCTGGCAGTCCCAAAAGATGCTTTTTCGCAGCTATAACTTTGTTTCCCCCCAAGTACAAGCCAGAAGGCGTTGCTCTCTTTTCCTTCTCTAGCATGTTTCACAGAAACTCCAGGCTAAATGAAAAAAAAACAAAAACAAAGAAAAGAAAAGATTATTATATTAATTGATACGGGAGAAAGAGTTGTGTGAAAGAATTCTGCATTGCTGCTATGAGAAAAATATATTCAGAGGAAAGTTAAAAAAAGTGCAGATACCCATATAACCATGTTTTAAAAAGCAGGAAACAGATATAATCAGTTGAAGAACCGTGGCCAAAAGAAAAATTGAGCGAAAAAACTCAACTCAAGAGAACTAAATCATTATATAAGAATTAAATATAAAAACATTTGATCGAAGGATATACAGGCATAAATCCCTATTATAATGCTCTTTAGTTGTGTTGATTAATTCGTCAATTCAACTTTGTAGGGACTTAGATGCTGTACAATAACTTTATCAGGTTTCTAAATCAAGAGGATGTGCTTTAGCCTTGTGTCGCATCAATCCCTACAAGTAAACAACTTTCTATAAAGAATCTACCTTAAGAATTCCAGCAATTTTTACAGCAAATTGCTTCTGTTCATTGGTGCTTTGGTTTCCATTCCATACATAAAATGTAGGATCAGATTGTAGGAGGAAACACTCAGTCGAGTTCAACGATGATGCCACCTGAAAATTAATTGCCAGAACAAGGAGGTATTGGCGTTAGGATACAAAAGGGATAACAATAATCCCATAATAAATGAGGTCGCTTGGTTCTTTTATGTGAGTAATGAACTAAAATTAATGACAACTATGAGCGAAGCTTCCTTGACTAAATAAATAACTTCACATGATAATTAGATTGAAATTTAGTGAACTGATAGCAAAAAGGACACTGTCAATCATACTACTATGGTTAGACAGAAGTGCACACAAACAACAATTACAAATTCCCAAGATGAATACCTTAATGCTACGGGAAGTGTGATAAAATGATAAAAAAGTTAGATTTTTTCTTAACACATTCAGAATGAAAAAAGCAAATGCTGTATATCTCCAATAATTAAAGACAGGAAAATAATTAAAGTTAGGCTAAAGCACTGAATAACCTTTTACGCATACCCTCTTGACAATGAAACAACATAATTCCCCACAAATTCAGAAAATAACACAGCAATATTTGATAGCTTACGTATTTACTAGTCACACTTTCAATCAAATTTACTTAAAATTGAACGGCCGGCATCATACAGTATTACACATTTAATGGTGGCAATTGGAAATATCAGGGTCTAAAAGGCACTGGCACGCAAAACAAAGTTAAATTGTCATTTCCATGTAAGTTATGAGGAAAAACAAATTCAAGCGTGGAACTTTTAAAATTAAGTAACCAACCAAACATACCGCATCAACTTGCACTACTTTATTATTGTGGAGGGCAGTTCCTGATGTACGAAATAGAGCAAGACTTTCTGCTTTGTAGGTTACATCCGTCAAGCCTTTGTCAGCTATACTCCTTTTGTAACCAGAGCTTTGACCACCCTAAATAGAAATCCACAAGAAAATTAGTCGATGACCTCCAATTTAAACCAAAAACTTCCGAGCAATTGACAATGGGATTCTAAAACTTTGAGGTAGAATTTAATACCTTAAAGACCAACATAGGTTGAAAAAGTGCAATGAATTGGGGGGGCTCTTTACCTTCAAACACTCGACCCTGTGAGAAGCATCTATTAGAGACAAAGCATTATTAAAATCATAGTACTCAGTCAAATTTAATATGATACCTGAACAGGCCTCCCCTTTAATGAGTTATAAATTGCAGTAGCCAGCTTATAAGCCATCTTTCGTCCTCCTGAATTGAGAAATGAATATACTTTTAGAAATTAAAACATTTTAATGTGAATGACCATCACTAGAATCAAGTACATCAAGTTAACAATGTGACCATGTAGCCTCTCCTTTCACCTATAAAACTTTGACAAGAAAAAGAAGATATATTTAAGAACATTTGATGCAGTATCCATATGTACATATGGGTGTATTCACTATTTTCAAAGGATAAAATCCAATAGTTGCAATCAAAATTCTATCCTCCATCAACGATTCAATCAGAGGTGCATGAAGATCGACCAGGGGATAAGATCAATTAGTCCTAAAGAATGCTTAGATAGAATAAACCTGCTGAAAGAAAAATAAATTAGGTGGCTGGAGAAACTAGATTAGCATTCCAAGTTTATGATGTGCATGAAATTCAAAAATCATCTTCTAAATTTCATATAAGGGGGGCACAATTATATAAGAAGCATATATCTATCTTTACTTTAATAATGAGAAGCAGCTAATCTTGGCAGCACCCTAGTCAGTATCATTTAGTATCAAATTCCCTGTTTCAAACTGATAAGTGGAAGGCAGCTATGCCATGAACAAAAAGTTGGAGATGAATGACTGAAAGGGCATATTACTTAAGTTGTTTCCAACTCAGCTAAGAACGACGTAAATTACCTCAATGCTATTGTTTCCAATCCAACAGCACAGAAAGTAATCTTCTTTCTTCTCACCAGACTGGTAGGTATAAAGCACAATGTAACAATCTCCACTGTAGAATTTACCAATATCAGCTTTTGGCAAAGGTGTCTTGGCACTGTCATTAATGCACCATACCTGAAAACAAGCAACATCATACTCATATAAGTAGTTAGTGCCTTTAAGTCCAATACGAAAAACCAACTAAAAGCAGACTATTCACTCAACCTCCATCTTTCCATCGCCTTCAAGCAAAGGAGGGACTTCTTCATTTACAGGAGCGCTTTTGGTCACTCCCTTGACAGCGACTCCCCGTTGCTTCAGAAGAGCTAGGAGTAAAACAATACCATTCAATAAAGTTAACCACAAAACGTGTTATTTGTAACTTATTAAGTTGCCATACCGGCTACTTTTCCTTTTCCCTCCTCAGCACCAGGACCTGTTGTAGACCCTGCCGGCCAAGAATCAAAGTTGGACTTGAATGAATTAGTTTCATATCCTTGGTTGACACGTATTATGCGTGATGTTTGTGCTCTATTCTCACTAGCCAAAAAATCCTGGAGATAAAAGGTTTGAGAACAGAACTAGCATTCCTTAAATACATGAAGAAATCCAGATAAAGCCTCTATCTCTACCTCAACAACTTGATTGGTAGCTTTTCTGTCCTCTACATGTGTTGCACGTCCAACCCAAACAAAAACCTTAGAACCACAGTCTAGTAGATAGCATTTTTTGTTTTCAAAATGGCCTTTTGATAGTTTGCCTTCAGCAGGCTTCAGCTCACCATTAGTTATGCTACAGGAACCAGTGATTTCAATTTAGCCATTAATAAAGACATATACCTTTAAAAACAACAGTAATAAACTTATATCAACTAAAATTTATTTTGATTAAGAGTGCCTAATCTAACATCCCCTAAAGAGATTATCTACTAGAAAACAATCTTCAAACCACCAAAAAGTTCAGTAAAATCTATATTAGCAAACTAATGATGACCATGTGAAAATTCTTAGAGCTGTCTGGCAAACAATTTAAAATAAGCTTAATATATTGGTTTATTATCTCCATAAAAATTACCTATACATTTTAAAGAAACCGTTTTCTCTCTCGATAGCTGGACTATTGTTCTTAGGGTTTTTGGTTTCTTCTCCGATTTTGGCTCAATTTGGGGGTTTTCTAGGCTGAATTCATGCTTGGTCTTGCGACTAGTTGACGCGGTGGTGGGGGGATGGATTGGAAGAGTTTGTTCATGGGGGCGGCGGAGCAATCTTTGGATTTTTTCCATCGGAGAGTTGCGAGGGTTCGCTGACTGATTCCCCCAACAGATGTGTTTGAGGAGGGCATTTCTGAATGGCGTTACTCGCTAGTAGGGCAATTTATTGGTTCAACCCCTAATTTTGAAGCTTTACAAAACTTGTGGAGCAGATGTGTGGGAAAAATTCTTTGGTGAAGGTATGTTTGGCTGGGTCCAATTTGTATGTTTTTTCGTTCACAAATGGGACTGTTAGGGATTGAGTACTTGAAAATGGCCCCTGACATTTTCAGCATAAGCCTCTTGTGTTAAGGAAGTGGGAACCTAATCTGAAGTGGTTGGAGTCTGATTTGGCAAAGATGCCTGTGTGGGTTCAACTCTTCAATGTTCTGCTTGAGTTGTACTCTAAAAAGAGGTTGAGCTACATCTCTAGTGCTTTGGGCACCCCCTTGTACATGGACATTATCACTGCAGCAAAGAAGAGGCTAGAGTATGCCAAAGTGTGTGGAGGTTGAGGTAGGGGCATGGTTGCCTTGATCAATTTCGGTGAAAATACATGATGGTTCGATGGGTGTAATTAAGGTGGTTGTGCCCTGGTTTCCATCATGCTGTTCTAAATTCAAAGTGTTTGGTCATTTGGACAAGAGTTGCAATGAGGTTATTGCAGGCGACAAGGGAAAAAAGGAATGAAGGGATAAGAAGGGTAGCTTCCTTTTGAGGCTAGGCAAGGAAGCTCTGGTTCAAAGTCTCAAGTTCAGAATCATGGGGATCAATCTGTTGTTGCTACTTTGCAAGGTACTGAGGGAGTGAATGTTTTGCAGATCGAGGGAGAAGGTGGAGTGAGTTTTACTGGAGTTGAAAATGTGGCTTTGGAAATTGCAGAGGTGAGTATGATAGTGGTGTTGTGAGTGCTTCTTCTTATTTAAAGGAGGGTAGGTAAGTTGGGTCTACTGGAGTGGGTTCACATTTGGATCCTTCATTTGAGAGGAGGAGGGGTAAGGGAAAGAAAGGGGATAAGGTAAGGGCTACTTTTACTTGTTCCTCTAATAAAATTGAGGTCCTTGGTAGTGTGGAGGAAGATGAAGGCTTAAAGAAGCCGAAGCTTGCTTCTCAGGGGGTGGCACACATTCTGCAGGAGATGAAGGCTAAAAATAAGGACCTCGTGGAGAAAGTTAAAAAGGTAAATGATGTTGGTTTAGCAGCAGGTGTTAATTTTTCTCCATGTATATGATGTTTTCTGAAATATCAGGGGCTTTAATCGCCCTACTAAACATGCAAGGGTAGTGAGTAGAGTAGAGAGATTGAATGTTGAAATTTTATGTCTAATTGAAACTAGGGTTAGAGAACATAATGCTTCTGAGATTGTGGCTAGGTACTCTGAGTATTGGAATTATGTTTGGAATTATAGTCATATTGGAAATGGGAAGATTTGGGTGCTTTGGAAGAAAGGGTTGCAATTTTCTGTTGTGCATGTGTCTGATCAGTCTGTTTCTTTGAAGGGTGTTTTGGAGGATAAGCCTGTGGTTGTTATTGTTGTGTATAGGAGCAATGACAGTATTGCTAGGAGAAATCTATGGCATTCTCTGCAAGCCGTGGAGGCCGGGTCTGGTGGGGGATTCTGCTTGGCTTGTAGGAGGTGACGTTAATGTCACTGCTACTTCCAATGAGAACTTTAGCGATGAGGGGGTTATTGGGTAGGTCCCTACTGATATGGAGGAGTTGCAGGTTTGTATGGACGGGCTTGGTTTGATTGATCACCCTTATTCTTGCCCTGTTTATACTTGGTCTAATAAACATGAAGTGGGATTTATTGCCACGAAGTTAGATAGGATTTTGGTTAATGATAATTGGTGTAATGTGTTTACTCAATCTCACGTTGAATTTCAAGCTCTTAGGGTCTCTGATCATTGGATTAGTGTTGTTTGGTATGCTCAGGAGAATCTTGCTTCAAGACCAAAGACTTTTAAAATTTTTAATATTTGGATGCTGCATCCTGAATTCAGGGAGATGGTTAACTGATCTTGGAGAGAACCTTCACAGGGGAATCCTATACAGATCTTATTTGGTAAGCTGAAGAGACTAAAGCCAGTTTTGAGAAGATTTAATAAGGATACGTTTTCTGATATTTCTAAGAGGGTTCTGGAGAAGAGGGATCAGTTGGAGGGGCAACATTTAAATCTATCTGGTGTTGGGGATCATAGTTTGGATACGGAAAGGAAGTTGATGGTGGAGTTAGCTGCGTTGGAGAAGGCTGAATGTTTTTTTTATCAGCAAAAGGCAAAAGTGGCCTGGATTCAAGATGGGGACCAGTGCACTAGGTTCTTTCATTCACAGGTTGCTGTAAAGAATAACACTATTAGGGTGCTACAAGATGAGGAGGGGCATAAATTGGGAACTTTTGACTTTATGGCAGTTGAGATGGTGAGATTCTTCACCCAACAAGTTGGGACTGCTGATGAGTTTGTAAATATAGGGATGTTGATGGACTTGCTTGGGTATTCCCTTCCTGGTGGAGTTAGTGATGACCTAGTTAGAGAAGTCACTAGGAATGAGATTAAGGCGGTATTTTTTAGCCAAGGCAATGACAAAGCACCTGGGACTGATGGGTTTACTACTGGGTTCTTTAAGGCAGTTTGGGATATTGTTGGGTTGGATGTTTGTGTTACAGTTAACTTTCTGCTACATTACATCCTGCTTTTAACTTAATTGCAATTACTTTTGTGCCTAAAGTGCCAAATCCTAGCATGGCTAGAGATTATAGACCTATTTCCTGTTGCTCTATAGTTTATAAGGTGATTACTAAAATTCTTGTTGCTAGGCTTGTTCCTTTACTCCCTGGAATGGTCCCTATGAATCAAGCTGCTTTTGTGATGGGTAGGAGTATAATTGACAACACCCTTTTAGCTTAAGGGTTGGTGAGGGGGTATGGTAGGAAATCCCTCTCTCTTAAGTGTGCTTTAAAAGTTTACTTGCAGAAGGCTTTTGATTCTCTAAGTTGGGATTTTGTGCTTGGGATAGGTTTTCTGTCTCTTTTAATGGGAGCCTAGTTGGTTATTTTCTTGGTATGAGGGGTGTGATGCAGGGGATCCTTTGTCCCCTATTTGTTTGTTTTGTCAATGAGTGTTTTGGCAAAGATGTTGGACGGGGCTGTTGCAAGTAAGATTTTCCAATTCCATCCCAAGTGTGATAGGCTAGGGTTGACTCATCTGTGTTTTGCAGATGATTTGTTGGTGTTTTATAGGGGATATATTGGCTCTATTATGGTGGTTAAGTGTGTTCTGGATGTGTCTATGAACTCTCGGGGCTTAGGTTTAACTCTTCTAAATCTGAGCTTTATTCTTCTGGCATGTCTGAGGATCAACTGAGGCTTGTTCATTAGATTATAGGGTTTTGTCTTGGAACTCTGCCTGTGAGGTACTTGGGGGTCCCCTTGTGACCAGAAAGCTGATTGAAAGGGATTGTTCTGGTCTGGTGGAGAAGATTAAAGGCAAGATTGGTAAATGGTCTAGTAGAAGGTTGAGTTATGCTGGTAGGATGCAGTTGATTAGGGTTGTTTTGCATAATGTGGCTAATTTCTAGTGCAAACAATTGGTTCTGCCTACTGCTGTTGTCAAGAGGGTTGAGCAACTTTATGCTCGATTTTTATGGAAGGGGGATATGCTTGCTAAAGGATATAGAGTTAGTTGGGAGTGTATATGTTCTCCTAAGTCTGAGGGTGGCATGGGGATAAGAAGTTTGAAGTGTTGGGGCAAGGCTTGTGTGTTTTTTCTGATGAGGAATCTTCTTGCTAATGAAGGGTCCTTGTGGGTGGCCTGGGTCTATACTTATGTTTTTAAGGGTATAGACTTTTGGAAAGTTGAATGTAAGAATCATTTTAGTTGGGTTTTGAGGAAGATCTTGGGATTAAGGGAGGAGGCTAGGTATTTGGTTGGTGGCAGGTCTAACTGGGGAGGGATTACTGCAAGGTGGTTTTGGGAAGAGCTTCGAGTAGAAGGGACAAAGTTCAATGGTAGAGGCTTATCTAGTTTTCTATGAGTGTCCCAAAGCATTTTGTTATCACTTGGATGATAACCATTGATAGGCTTCCTACAGCTGATGGACTGTCAAGAATGGGGGTAGTTGTTGATGCTGGATGTAGGATCTGTGGTGGGAGGGAGCAAGATTCTAGGGATCGTATTTTCTTTGAATGTTATTTTTCCAGGAAGGTTTGGGAGGTGGTTTTGAGGCTGTGTGGCATTCGTAGGGTGGTGGGGACTTGGAATGAGGAGTTGCTTTGGGTTGTTTCTAGGCTCAAAGGTAAATCTCTCTTGGTGTATGTGTTGAAAATTGCTTGATGTGCTTTTGTCTATTATATTTGGGAAGAAAGGAATTTCAGGTAGTTTAGGAATATTAGAAGTGTAAATGAGATTGTAGATATCATAAAGGGTGTTGTTAGGATTAAAGTGTATAGGAAGAGCATTAGGTTTGATGCAGTAAACCAGGCTCTGTGTGATGCTTGAGGCTGCAATTTTTCTTTGGGGGGGGGGGACTGTTGTTGTGTTGTATTCTTTTGTAGCAGCCTTTGGCTGCTTTCTTGGATAATAAGATTTCAATTTATCCCAAAAAAAATTACCTATACATAGGGCATATAATATATGCTCAAAATATCGTTTGTATCCCTTTCCCTTTTGAACAATAAAATGCAAATGTGGTGTATGAACTACATAACTCTCAGCTTAACTTTAATGCTGCCTCTCAACTTCAGTACCAGTCATAACATTCTTGATAATACATTAAAGAAACTGACTTCAGATTTCTTGCAGAATAAAGATAACAGGTAGGAATTCCAAAAGAACATTTGAGAAACATGCGATATTTAACGGAGTAGATAAAACTTTTAAGGTTTCATACATCCACTGGTTGAGATTTATTGGTAGACATTAGCCAGAAGAGGACGGCTTCATTTAAGAAATGTTAATTTGAAGGTAACAGATTAAAAGTGAAATCCGAGGAAGCATAAGGATTTCAAGTACGTAAAAAAGAACTTTTGAGACTGTCTTGCAGCAATAAACGAATAAAACAACTTATCTGAGTGAAAGAGATTGGGGCTACAGGCTTATCAATTAGGTTGTAATCACTTAGAAACTGAAGTACTGTTCCTAACAAATGAATAGAATGCATTGTCTTAGCATCTAACTTAAATAATATTCTAGACATACCAAAATCCTCATTTCCTTGCTACTAGGAAAAATAAACAGAAGATACAATTATAGATTTACCTATAAAGTTTAGGAGTAGTAGTCTCAGGAATAACTTCATCTTCACTGGTAACCTTCTTGCTTATTGGAGCAAAACCACCAAATAGGACCCAGAACTCACCAGAGTTGGGCTCAGTGCCCATTCTCCCATCCTCTGGAAAGGTGATTATATTTGTGCATATATAAGTGAAGATCGACAAAACGGAAACTAAATAAGTAAACCTTGCATTCAATTCCATTAATACTTGTAGAGAAGTATTGATTCAGGAGAAACAGCAATGTTTATACTGTAAATGCATGCATCCTCACCAACGATTGCAAGATCACAGTCTCCGTCGTGATTCTTTTCCTTTAAAAACTGAATAACATCTAATGCCTTTGCCCTTTCCTGAATATTAGATTGTGCACCATTGAACTGATAAATCTTTTTTTGAGTGTCCAGGATAAACACATCATCATGATTCAGTGAAGACCGAGCAAAAGGAACCTGAAACATCATAATGAAAAATGGTATTTTCCCAGATCTAAAGTAGTCTCATACTAAATACTTGATAATTAATTTCATATAGCCTTTTTTTTTCCTTTCCTTTTGGAATCGGTATTCACCAAACTTATTTTAAGAGCTTCAGCTACCTGTTTCAGTTTTGCAACTCGCTTTCCTCTGCAGAGATACAACTGTGTCTCAAACTCTCCTTCAGCTTTTTTAATTCCTGAAGCAAAACCACCCTCCAGTTGTATAATGCAAGGTCTAAAGTATGACACAAATTTGTCAGATTCATGTCCTTGAAGTTCCCTGTACTGCACAGCACGTCCTCCTAGTACTGCGTCTAGCTCAAAGGCTTTAATAGCAGATGTTCCAGCTTCATCCTGCATGTGCCAACACCATCTCAAATGATGTTCTAGTTCATTTGGAAGAACATTTAAATCCTCAAAAGGTTAAGTAGAAGAAAGGAAGCAAAAGCACACCTGACTGGTATCTTTCCCGATCCAGTAGTGCATGTCATGCAGATTTTGACCACCCTTGCTTGCTGTTGTCTACAAATATATAAAGATATATTTGTATATATAAAACGGGAAATGAAATATAAATACAGGGGATAATGATTCGAAATGGTTCATCCAGGTTCAGAAATGTATGTTGTGGGCGTGCATCCACACAAGAGAGCAAGCAAGTTTGTGAGAGGGGAAGAGAGATTCAGCACCTGTAATACAATGTAAGAATCGCCCATATAGAATTTTCCATAGTCAGACTTTGGCAAAGGAACTAGCTGAGAATTCTCAATACGCCAAATTTCAGTCCCGCTACAAGATGTTAAGTCCAACAGCCTTGAGGTAAAAAATTATCAGGACATATAAGAAACATAAGCACACATCTTAAAATGAAAAAATAACATTTGCATTATCTTGTCCTGCTGTGATTGGACAAAACTCAGTGATTGATTCCAGTCTTCCTTATCAATACAAATACACTCATATAATGAAAAAGTTAAAAGAAAAAAGGGTTTGTTCATAACTCCACAACTTATATGCCCTTTGTTTTAAGGATACGGTTTCTGACCCACTCCATGAAATGCGGGTTCTTTTACATCTTTTGCAGAGCTAGACATTTCTGGGAGTTTTCCTTGTCACTGTTTCTTAAGCAAAACTTGAATAGCTCAACTTGAGAGTCCAACCTTTCGGCAATATGGAAGTACAAACAACATAAAAAAACAGTTACCAGGTCATGCAAGGAAACAAAGTTAACTTGCAGTACAAAATAAATAAGACAAACCTTTTTAACAATGCTTACAACAATTCAAGCTGCCTAATAATATGTTCCTATACCCCGAATCGTTATATAATCAGAAAACAAAAGATGTGAGTCTAGTTATCAGGAAAAACAAAGCAAAAAATATTTTGACTTTTAATAACAGTATCAATCAAAATAAATCCCAGCTTTTCACAATCATCACAAGAAGCAAATATCGGCAGAACATATGTACTATCATGATCCAGTGTTGAGAAATTTCACACAACTGCATGATATTTTGATCAGAAACATGGGCTTCCTAGAGTTATGAATGAGTGCATTGCATATGCAGATATAAAGATCAGCAACAAGCCGTTTGAGGAATCGAACTGAAGATCAATGAATGAATGATTGTTTGATTACATATGTTAAGAAACATATTTCTAACAACATCGACACGGAAAGATAATTCAGCGATTTCAAAACATGAGAAAGCATCGTGGAGAGTTGTGAAAGAGATTAAAATTTATTCCCAACAACAACCATTCAAAACTAAAACTGTCTCATGATCATTAATGCTTATTAAGTTATTAAAAACAACAAATCAAATCGTTTCCATAGCTTAAAGCATAAAACATGGAGAAAAGTATGAAAGTTGACACCAGCATCAGACGATATTAAAACAACAGCTATAGAAAAAGAAACAAAGCACATTAAAATATAGACAAAATCAATCATTACCCAGAACAAAAACATCAATCAAACAGGAACCAAATGAGATATAATCCGAAAGGAAAAACATCATACCAATGACACCTCCTCCGAAGCATATAAAAGAAACGTGAATTATTGTTTTTTTTTTTTCAGGCTTTCTATGGATTTGTGAATTGGAAAACATGAAACTGATAGAATGAATTATGATGGTTAAGACAGGTAAAAGCGAAATTTGGGTTACATTTTGGATGGAAGGAAAATATTTTCGAGCGTTCGAGGCAGTGGCAGAGCCGCTATTTTAGGCAAAAACAAATGTCACGAAATGATGACACTCGTGTGCCCAAGTTTTAGTAATATCGAGGAAAAAATAAAGGAAGATCCTATTATTATTATTATTGTGTTTCTAAATTTATTTTGATTTAAGTTTAGAATTTAAAATTTTAATTTAATTATAGGTTACAAATTATTATATTTATTGGATGTAACATTTTTTATTATAATTATAGATGCAGCTCTTAGAAGAAGGATTTTAAATTAGGGTAAAGAACACAAATGATATCCCGACTTTAGCGTACTACTTTATTCTCGACTTTAGCGTACTACTTTATTAAGTCATTCGATTATTAAAAGTTACAAAATAATCATTTAATTATAGAATGTTATTTTGTTGAGTCCTTCAACTATAAAAGTTACAAAATAATCATCTACTATTTATTATTATGTTCCAAACTCGTCCTTTTTCGTTAGAAAATAGACGATATTTTGAGCTGGACGTTAATTTGTTAACTGTGATATAATAAAATTTAATTCAAAAATCTCAAAAGACAATCATATCTCAATCATCATGTTAAAATTCAACTTAAACATCCGCCAATTTAAATTTACACAATGTAATACAAATAAAGCCTGCTTAATTTAAGAAACAAATAAATTTTCCTTCTAATTAAAGGAAGGAAAGTACAAACCTATCCTTTTTCCAATTTCATCCTACCTGTTTTCCTCCTCCAAAGAAATAAACTGGCAGTGCCATGCCTAAACAAGGACACTTCTTTTGTCCGATGGGGTGCGTTCAACCGTTTTACCAGTACACTGGCTGCCCTTACTGCTATTCCCTCCGGCCATTCTCGGAACGGAACGCTGCATTATCCGGATCGGAATTCCGCCCATGTCAAATCCTCCTTCAAAGATTTGTTAGAAACCTTACATATGTATCGGAGAGCTTGGTGTTCCCATTCACGAAGGCGACGAAAGTTGGAGGCCTGGCTTTCACTTGAGTGAAGTACTTGATCTTGGTTTTGGCACCGTGGTCTTTCCAAGAATGTCGGCTCGTAACCTAAACCAACAGGAACAACGACGGATCGAAATAGAAGAACATATAAAAACTCGAGTACAAAATTTCACTTTCAGGGTTCTAAGATGAGAATAAAAGTAGAAGATATAAACGACGGACCTTGAGCAACCAACGGTTAAGACGCGCAGTGGACAACCTTAAACACCACTTCTCGTACGTATCGATGACTTGAGACATGACAGCAGCACGCCCTTTTCCGTCTATTGCTGAGATGAACACAACTGGTATCCCAGTTATCTGTTGGCAATGCCATGGTAACATAAAAATATCATCTAATGGTAATTATCAAATAATTCATCTATAAGATCCGGGTGTTCGATGAAAGCACATAACATCATCTGTAGAAGATCCGGGTGTACGACGAAAGCACATAACATCATCTACAAAAGATACGGGTACGACGAAAAGAACATATAATCTCAATTTTTCCACACATTCTTCTATTATTAATTACTAAAATTGAAAATAGGGATTAAGCCGACGGACCTGGGGTATAACCATCTGAATTTCCTGAGGAACAGCTTCCATGATTTTTTTATATAAAGCGGAATTTCTTTTCCCCTTTAGAAGATCCATCTTGTTCACAATTACAACCAAACCACGACCTTCTTCCACAGCTTGTCTTGCTATAACTACTTCAGCATGCGTCAAGCTACGCCAAGCTTTTACAACCTGAACATTGTCCCACAGAGATGGCAATGATATTAAATTTTAATCTACTATTTGCCCGGGGTAGGTCGGATTTTCTAATTTTCCATATATCTGGAGGGTCCTTGGAGATCATATCCCCCATAACCGTGTGTCAGACACGAGTTCATAAAGAACAATAAAGAGCTGGAGCAACATTGACCTAAAGCTTCCAAACATGTGAAGCGTCAATTATGCCCCTCATATTAGAAAGGGTTGGCCTCCGAAAACCGATCATTTAAATATACGAGACATTATATATAATGAATGACAAACCTCTTCAGCATCAAGAACCAAAGCAACTACATGAGCTCTCATCAGATTTTTTCTCGATTGCATGATGCTCAATGAAGCGGGACCTTTATGCCGGTTGCCTCTTTGCAACCAACCAGCAGTATCAACCTGGATATAAACACATCAAAATCAAGATAAGAAATACTTGAACTAAAAGTCAGTTCATTCAAAGACTTAAATAAAAAAACTAGGAATAGAATATCACAGTAGCCAAGAGAAGAGCCTTTGTAAATTTCAGATTTAGATTAGTCATTATGATAACTAAAGGGAAACTGCCCTTATGATAACTTTCACGAGGATAGTTCTCCAGAGAGCCTCGATAATTTAGATAGTAAAAGACAACGAAAATGGAATCAAACATCAACTTTATTTTTGTGGTACTGGATTCAACGCATTTCAGAATTTTACAGAATATATATATATATATATGCAAAGAGACTTGGCATATAAAGTTTAAATAGACAGTTTGATTACATCAAGTGATGGAACAAAGATTTAAAACAAGCTAAATATTTATACCAGATAAACCGTTCTCCCCTGATATTGAAATTGTGCTCTGACTGAATCTCTAGTCAAACCAGCTTCAGGACCAACCAAAACACGATCTTCTTCTAACAATGTATTTAGTAATGTCGACTTCCCAACATTTGGTCGGCCAACAATAGCCAATTGTAGTGGCACCTTAGATTCTTCATCAACCTTACAGAGTCACAATTTTGGTTGAAGTTTTCGTGTTGGCTACTGTTGCCTAGGGCAAGTCAAAAACAAACACGATGAAAAAGTCAGAAAACAGGGGAGGAAACAATGAGTGCCTTCAAAAGAAGTGTACAAAATACCTGGGCTATGATCCACTTTTTCCTAGAAATCCACCATAGTTGACAAAAGAAAGTGAAAATCACGTAGCCAAGGCTTAAGTTCCATTTATATTCACGCCTAGTATGTTTGGATCTAAAACTTAAGCTAAGGGTGTATTTGATAAACACTGAAAATTCTTGGACCGTTTAAATGAAAACTTTTAATGGTTTAATGTTATCGATGTGTATGGTATATTATTTTAAATTTAAATTCTACCAAAATGGAAAATTTTCAATCAATTTTCAATCTTAAGCCATTAAAGGGTACTTACTAAATACAACCAGATTTAGCTAATTATATTAACCTTGAATAATATCTCTTCAGTATTTATTCTTCAGTAGAATACCAAATTTTTTTCATAATAACAATCCAATAACTAATTTTTCTATTTAACAAATATCACCTAAGTTCAGCAAAGCACAAATATTAAGCGCAACACAACAGCTATCCTCATCATGAAGGACAGAGTTTTAACAATAATAGAGTGCTTACCATCTAAAACTTTGTTCATATAACTCTCAAGCATTGGACAGAGATTCATAAAGCGTTGTCATTCCCAGCCCAGTCTCAGCAGATATAGCAATTGGTTCACCAAATCCTAATTTCAGGGCTTCTGTAGCAGCTTCAGCAAAAGAGTTTGTATCATTATGAAGCGATTCAGATTTATTCATGGCTACTATAAGATTGATTCCTGGTGCATGCTTGCGTAACCACCTTCCAACCTCCTGATCCAATGGATGTAGCCCAGTTCTAGACTCAATAAAGTACAAAGAAATAAATTTTAATTAGCACATACTGGAGAAAGAAACCCTCAAAATAATGACCTCAAAACTTTTGTACCCAACACCATGATTGAAGATGTTAAAGAAATTGATGTGATGCAATGTAATGTAATGTCTTCTCAAAGTTTTCAAATAAATTTTTAAAAGTAAACATCAGATAATGTCTTAAATTTTCAAAGTAATCAAGTTGTGCAATCATGAGTAGATATCCATGCATGTATAAGAGATCCATAATAAAGACTGACCTAACATCAATAAGAAAAATTGCAAACTGAGTTCTAGCAAGCACATTTGCGGTCATGGCAGATGTTCTATTTAGAATAGAACCGGATGAAGCTTCTGTTTCCAAGCCAGCAGAATCCAGTACTTTAAACCGCAGATCCCCCAATTTAGCAAGCCCTTCCCTTATGTCTCTAGTGACATGATCATCAGGTGTGTTGTACACAAGAGCCTCTCTCCTCCTTATCAAGCTAAACAGTATTTGACCAGAATAAATAAAAATAACAAGTAGAGAACGTTAAAAAAATTGTGTGATGCATGGAAAAGACAGGAGATTGAGAGCGAGAAATTAGCTACTAACCGGTTAAACAATGCAGACTTCCCACATTGGGGCGACCAACAATCATGACAGTGGGAAGCAGATTAATGTCTAATTTGGTGAAATCAACAGGTTTTTTATTGGCAACTGTAGCCCCTTCAGGAGTCTTGGAATGAGGTTGAGACACACCATCCTTAGAGACAGTTAACGTGCAAAATCTCACAGTAGCTTGAATCGAATTCCTAAAGTTGTTAAGCAGATGACCACTTCCATAACTCTTGAAAACAGATGAAAACAACATATCAGCAGATGAGACATCCATACAACACTTTAAAAGAAAATAAAACATAACAAAATAAATAACACTGAAAACAACAGCTCTACATAAAAGGTGAGACAAGTTTGTAGAGAAGCTTATAGGTAAGCAGATGATCTTGCTACTTTGGCCAAACAAAGTAGATGGAGACTGACGTGATTAGACTTTAGAGCAATATTTTTTGCAGGTAGTTCATTCTATCTGTTAGAGGGGTGCTGGGATCTTATGTGATTTAGAAGTACACAGTTTATTCTTAACATGATATAATTACACAAAACAATACGATTCAAAAACTTATATAACACAAACTATTAAGCATAAAAATTTATATAAAATACAGAATATATATCAAGACCATTCGAATACATGGACAACTGACATGTCTAGTCTAAGCTCCTATGTACCAACCCCCCCCCCCCCTTCCCCCCACACACAAAAAGGGGGGGGGGGACTCAGTAATACTTACATTAAAAGAACAACATTTTAACATTGGGTATCAGTTTAACCAAATTGAAAGGAAGAAACAACTTTTATCCAAGTTTTGAGCTGCTCCATAGCATTAAACTTGATAAGCACGCTCATTAGTTCACTAGAGAAAGACAATATTTTGAAATCCAAACTTCAGAATAATCTTAATCTAACTCAATAAATCAAAACATATCACTGATTCTTCCATTATAACATGTTTCAATCATATAGCAAACTATGAAATGCGATTCAATTATCAGGCTCTTGTTTTCATAAAGAACAACCAAATACTTAAATTGGAACAATTCCAGAACTTAAAGAAAGAGAGTTACCAGAGAAACGGGAGCTTTGAAGTGGTTAACAAGAGCTGGAGTGCATAGATTCTCTCCAATTCCATGCCGATGATGTCTCCTTAAATACTCCGTGGCTGCCGCCTTCGCCGAACTCCTAAGCCTACTGCGGTTCAAAATCATTTCCTTTTTTCCTGCTTATCAATTCATAAAAATAAACGATCGCTTTTCACCCACACGAGGCGACAAACACAAAATACTACACCTTGTCCGGCCGGCCTCGACCGTAGCTCCAATCACCGACCGGAATGAATCGCCGAAGAAGCTTTTAGTGATTGTTTAACCTAATTTATATCAAGGAAGAAGGGAAGCCTGTCAGCCACCGCCATATAAGAGAGAAGTTAGCCGCCTGACTTAAGTAGTTAAGTTCAGTTCTTACCTAGCGGGCATAAACGGCCTAAAAATGACGGGTCATTTCACATTTAGTCCTTTAATTTATAACTTCTTCCAACTTGGTCCTTGAACTTTTCTTATATTAATGTTGAACTTATTTTTTTTTGTCACTGACATAATATCACATCATCAAAAATATTAAAAATAGAAAAGTTATCTAATTTAGAGATTAATGTATACAAAGAAAAATCTAGTGATCAAATTAAAAAATATTAAATTCAGAAACTAGACGTAGTTTTGTCCCTTTCTTTTAAATTAGCTTTCTTTAAAAAAATTATTTTTTAATCATCGGTACTTAATTTATTATTTATTTATCGTATCATTTATGATAATATCACTAATTTAGCCTAATATACTTTATTTGTATTATTATAGTTCGAACATTAAAATTTAATATCTCATTCCACTCGATTATTCACGAAAAAAATGCACAATGACAATGATAAAACTAAAGCAATGGTAATTTAGATCTTATAAGTTTAAAGTGAACAAGTATGACACTTACTTTAAATTGGTCTCTAAACTTTTAAATATTTTAATTTTATCCCTAAATTATGACTATCATTCTGAATTAGTCCTTAAATTCTTGAAAACTTTAATTTCATCTCCAAACTATGACTTTCATCCTAAATTAATCCCCAAACTTTTTGAACATCTCAGTTTCATCCCAAACTACATGTATATACTAATCATACCCTTGTTAATAAAATCTTTAGGCCAAGTTATGTTATTATATATTTTTGGGCAAAAATTAGGTTAAACTATGGTTGAAATTAATTACATATTTGGTTGAATTTAGGGATGAAATTGGAAAATTCCAAAGTTTGGGGACCAATTTAGAAAAAGGGTCACTGTTTAGGGATTAAATTAGAATGTTAAAAATTTAAGGGTAAATTTAGAATGAGAGTCTTAATCGGGGTGAAATTAAAATTTAAAAGTTTAAGGACCAATTTAAAATAAAAGTTATAGTTTGAGAACATATAATGCAGTTAACTCAAGTTTAAATATTAGATAATTTATTCTTTGTCTCCAAATTTAGAATTCAAATGTTTAATAAATCTTTGTAGATTTGACGTTCAATAATTTAATCTCTCTCGATATTTAATCTTAACTTCATCCTTTACGTCACAAAATAATTAAGTTCATATAACATGAAACATTACACATACACAACTCATCTGCCACAATTCTACTAAATCAAGATAAACCAAGTAAATATCGAAGAAAATCACATCCGTAACATAAAATCTCGCGTCGGTTCGTATTTAAAAGAGTTCCAAAATAACCGAAACCTAACAGCATCATTCCCCACGGTTAGAGGCTTCATGTAAGCTCAAACCAACATGGCAGCTATCAAGTACAAGTACCAGCATTTTCACTGGCAGCGCCATGGCCAGTGGCTGCTTCTTCGTTCCTGCATTCATCTGCAACTTTCCGAGGCGTTTGCGCCTCGATATCTTTCCCGGGACGCCGGCGGCCGTCTTTACGATCCTTTCGGCAAATCCACGACACGAAACCGAAAAACACCAACAGAAACAGAATCCCGACGTACTACAACACAAAACACGTCCACTTCAATCGTAAATTCATTGCATGCAACATAAGCAAAGAGCCAAAAGAAATTCACTCACCGTGTGGTACGACACCATGATGATCGGCTGGGCCAAGTGATGGGATTGAACTATGAGAAATGTGATTTGATTTTTTTTTCTCGATGCTGTCATTCTGTTCAGTGTTGACGCCATTAAATATGTGCTGAGCACAGAATCTATTGCATAGACAAAAAGTAGCATACTCAACGAGCAGTGAAACAGTTTGATCGTTACCATCTAACACTTAGTCTCCTGCTATCATTGTTGTCTTGTGGCTTAATAGAATTTTAGGTGCCTAAACTATACCTCAAATTGAGTTTTGGTGGCTAAAGAATTTTTCGTCAAAAATAGGTGCCTAACGTTTCGGAACGTCTCCTCGACCGTTAGGCCGTTAAATTTGGCCGTTATCTGACACGTGTCAGACATAAAATTTCAAAAAAATATTTTAAAAAGATTTAATGTTATGATTTAAAAAAACCCTCGAAATTCTACCACCGATCGATCATTGTCAGTCTATAACTGTCACCATTGACACCATCAAAATCGTCTCGCCACTTCGACGAAAACTCAACCCCTAGCCACTATGAATTTGCGTCGATCACTGTGAAAAGTGTTGCGAAGGGTCACTAGTTTTCTAAGTTTTTCTTGTTGTTTTCCAACGATTCCAACATTTACAGCTAGTCGTACGTTACACGGCCGCCACCATTAAGTTCCTTGCCTTGTTCTGAACAAAATTCATCCGGTGGTGACCCTTTGTCGTCGCCACAAGTGGGGGGATGGGAGGGAGAGGGACAACCTAGGGTTGATTTTGTTTCAAAAACATAATATTTCTATTATTAAAAATAAAATATATACCGGTAGACACCTAAAAGTGTATTGAAGAAAACATTAGGCACCTATTTTTAACAGAAAAAATTTTAGGTACCAAAAATTAATTTGAGGTATAAATTAGGTATTAATCCTTTTCTTATGTATTAAGCCTTAATGTTGGGAAGCAAATCACAGTAAGTTATTTACACCTACGTGATCTTCGGATCGTGAACTCCGTATGAAGTACTCTTTGAAACTCTTTACATGGAAGAGAGAGAAATTATAAAAATAGATGTATCAAATTACAATATATTAAAACTATAATGGCTAAAATTTAAATTTTTGTCATAATAGAGGGACCAAAATCGTAATTTTACCTTATAAAAAATAGAGGGACCACTTTGTGTTATAAAAGAGAACAATTCAAGAAAACACAGTCGCTTTTTTTTTTACCTTTAAAGGAAAGCTTCCTTCATTTCAATTGAATTATTAACATACTTTAATTGGCAATCATATTAAGAACATTATAATTATTGGAATAACTTTGACTAATTTGGAAGAAATCAAATATCATAGGACCATTTGTTGCTTTGATCTCCAATTATTTGTCTTAAATGATGCAAACTCGATTATATATATACACGATAAATATAAGATTAAACAATGAATTTTGGTGGAAAAAAAACTTTGGTCGTTCAATTTCCCGTGTTTCTGTTTTAGTCACTAAATGCTAGAAATTTTCAATTTAATCATTGAACTTTCGAATTATTTCTATTTTAGTTACATGAATATCAAGTGTCTAACGTCGCTTAAATTTCTTTAGTAAATTTATGCCCAAAAAAATAACCTTTGAACTTTTCTCTCAAACCTACATTTTTACACTCCCTTTGATTCACCGACACCCAAAGTATTTTCTTTCAGATCCGAATGGTGGAAAGGCTGAGGAGGACGAGAAAGAAACATATATCAATTCTACGTTGATCAAACGGTGGAGGTTGTTTATCAGAGTAGGATAAGTTGAAGCTTTAATTGGAGTTTGTCGATTCCAAGAAGATTTCGAGGAAAACCAAATCGGTTTTCTAGGAAAGGTAAGATTCGGTAAAATAATTTTAATTTTATATTGATACATTTTAATATTATAAATATTGGTAAATTATGCATTTAGTATCTAAACTACCAGTTTTGATCCATTTTAGTATCTAAACTTTCAATTTTTTCAAAACCATACCTAAAGTTTAATTTTTGTTTCATTTTAGTACTTGCAGTTAAAAACTTTAGTTTTTGTTTTCTTTTAGTACCCCATTCAAAATTAACGTTAAGTTTTGAAAAAAAATCAAAGTTTAGTTACTAAAACGGGTCAAGACTGATAGTTTAGGTACTAAATGCGTTAAGTTTTAATGGTGGAGTACTAAAATAAAATAAAAACTAAACTTTAGCTATGGTATTGAAAAAATTAAAAGTTTGATTACTAAAACGGATCAAAACTGATAGTTTAGGTATTAAATACGTAGTTTATCTTATAATTTTATATGATTCAATCTAGATCTATTCAAGGGCCAGATTATTTATCACAGCTCGAAAATTTTGTCTAAAGAAGATTTAAACAAAAGAGTTAAATGCACCATATGTCCTCAAAATAAGACCTTCATTTTAAATTAATCCCTAAACTTTTGAGTGTTCCAATTTTGTCCCTAAACTATAACTATCATTCTAAATTAGTCCTCAAACTTTTGAACCTTTCAATTTCATCCCCAAACTATGACCTTGAAACATTTTTTTAACATCCCAATTTCATCCCAAACTATACATATATACTAATTACATCCCTTGCTAATAAAATCAGTATGCCAAGTTATATTGTTATATATTTAGGGGGGAAAAGAAAAATTTAGGTTAAATTGTGGTTGAAACTAATTACATATGTGGATGGATTTGGGATGAAATCAGAATGTTCAAAAAGTTTGGGGACCAATTTAGAAAGAGGATCATAGCTTAGGAATAAAATTGAAATGGGCAAAAGTTTAAGGACTAATTTAGAATGAGAGTAATAATTTTGGGACGTAATTAGAATTTTCAAAAGTTGAAGGACCAATTTAAAATGATAGTTATAGTTTGGGGACACATGATGCAATTACTTCTTAACGAAAATATGTCTAAGTTGACTAAAGAGCCATGGAAGTCACTAAAACTACATAAGAACATAACTTGATTCAAACCCACTACAACAATGTTACTGAATATTTTCCAAATAAACAATAAATTGTTTCATATTATTCTTCAACATAAATACACAATCTTCTATATTTGTATATGTATCTGTATATAGTTTTATATATAAAAGCTTTGAGGGCATTTTGGATCACTGTCCTCTTCAATAAATTTGACATTGCTGCATATAGCTTTGGCTGGTCCTTGTTCTTGGTCCTTGAGGCTCACTTTTTGCAGCACAATCGCTTGGCAAGGATGGTTTGTGCTGCAATTGAAATTTATCGCAGCTTCGGTAGAACTCGTCCCGTTGACGTTACTGTACACCACGTT